CTAAGGGAGGCCAGCAGTGAAGCCTGGGACTTGTGAAATGTCACAGAGAGCTGCAGGGGGAAGGGGCGAACTTCTGGCTCAGTTTGCCGCGGCCGCTGTCCAAACCAGAAAGGTAGCGGGGGGGGGGGGGGGGGGGGGGAATAAGGTAGCAAGTAGGCAGATAAGTGGAGCTTCCACTTTTGCACTTTTGGGTGGAACTTTGCTTTAAAGTGGAACTTTAGTTAGAAATTAAGTCCTGCTAAATTACTTCAGGCTGGCCCATTTTGCAGGTATATCTATGCAAAACATTATAAATATGTGCTTATACTGTTTAAAATCCAATAATATACTGTCTCACCCTACTCTGCACATGCTCAGTTGCACTCTATTGTTTGGTACTGTGCTGAAAATGTATAGGTCAGTCTGCTGCCAGCCTGAAGATTTACTGCTGCTCAGGGGCTCTGGGCTGCTGCAAAATCACAAAGGGAAAAAAAAAACAAAAGGAAGAGAGAGCAGACAAGCTCATAGTGCAGTTACCTTGAATAGAACATTAAAAGGTAACTGCACCTAGCCCTCACAAAGTGCCATCTTGCTGTTGCTCCTTTGGCTGTGGACAGGTGTATCACACTGAGCCCTATGTCAGCCCTGTCAGAGGCTGTGAGGATCCATCCATCCCGCTGGTCATCTGGGAGCTCTGTGCTGGCACAAGTGCACATGCAGTGTTCACACCGAGGGCTGGATCATTCAAGTTTTTAGCTCAGACAGCTGCTATCAAGCAATTATTATGAATATCACGCCAACTACAAGCCTCTATTTGCGAGTGCAATCTTTTTATGTTTGTTTTTATTAATGCTTTATTAAAGGTAAATTCACTATAAGCTTGTGTGCTCTCTCTTTTCCTTTTGTCTTGTTTTCAGCTTCCAGTACCCACTAGTCTTTGTGAGAGCAGCAAAGTTCTTTGGGACTCAGATTCCTTCAGTTATTATTAATTTTTAGAAACTATATCCCGAGATTGTGGATTCACATACACAGACTATCCTGGGTATTAGCACAACTTCAGCTAGTGAAAATTGTAGTGCATCAGCAAAATGGCAGCCTCCAGCAAGAAGAACCAGGAACAATGCTGGAGGCAATTTACAGCACACACCAATTTTGGTAGCATAATTATTAATGTGGAATGTATGTTCCTTTCTAAAGAACATCATTATTTGCCAAGTTGTTATGGGTACAGTTCTGCTTTAAGCACCTTTATTCAGATACCTGTGCAAAAGCCCGAATTGGAGTAGAGGCCAGAGAACCCACCCACTCTTTCCCTGCTTAGACTACAGAGCTCTAATGAGATAGAATCTCCTTTCCTGCTTTAGGCAAGTCACAGCCAATTCACTTTTCGTTCCTGCAACCACAGTTTGCAGGAAAGAAAATCGCATGATTCCACAGTCAGTGTTGATGCAGGAATACCTCCCGTAGTGCAATTGTGTTCTGCCGGCTGGGAGCTTTCCCCGGAGGCAAAACAGAATGTTCACTGTTAGCAGCTATATAGTCTTTCACATGTTTCCTGCTGAATCAGCCAAAATTTGAGCCGAGAATGGCACAAGCAAGCATCACCCAGCTCAACAAAAGTCGAGCGGAAAACAATTGGCCGAACAGTAATCAGATGCAGTCACTGTACAGTAGCTCTACTGTATTCAGGTAGATGTGGGTGCTGCGGCTGTGGAGCATGATAGCACTGCTGAACAGTGACTGCATTTGAGAAGATGTAGTAACTGTTCGGCCAATTATTTTCCACTCAGCTCAGTCAACTTTTAGATTGACCAGTGTCAATATGTGTAATGCTTGCAGGGCCATATGAAGCTCACATTGTAGCTGATTCAGCAGCAAACAGATAAAAAAAGGCCGTCTATGACCAGTCTAAGGCAGAAAAGGGGATTCTATCTCATTAAAGCTCTGTAGTCTGGCTAGGGAAAGAGTTCACTGGCCTGGCCACCACTCCACTTTGGGCTTTTGCACAGGAAATAAAAGGTGAGGCTCTTAGTATGTTGGAGGAAGGGCTGCTGGACCCAGCAAAGAAAGTTTACACGCAAAATAGAATTGCTTTGTGAACCCAAAAAACATCTTGAAAGTTGGAATTCTGTACTGCATTGGATGTATCCCATAAGGGAAGAGTGTTGGGTTTTTTTGAAGGACAAACTTGGGGGAAGAAACCAAATTATATTTTTTCAGATGTCCTAACCAGTGTTTTTCTGTTGCAGTTATGGTTATATTGATTGTAAGAGATTAGTATCACATATAGAAAGAGAAATGGGCTGAGGTTAGTAGCACATATAGAGATTAGTATCACATATAGAAATCTTAGCTGTACAGTCCAAGCACATGTTAAAAACAGAAAAGCACTGGTAGGGCAGCTCAAAAAACATTATTATTTCTTTATATATCATTTGGTTTCTTCCCCCAGTTTATTCTTCAAAAATAACAGCAATTGTTTTATTTTTTCGTCAACTTTTTCTTTTTTTCCTGCAGCTGACCTACCATATTAGACATATTTCTTTACTGTACATCACGGAACACAGAGCAGGCCATAATAATGACTATGCAGGTTATATGCCACCTACAGGTGAATGGACACTTGCCTCCCCCATATAACCCCTCCTACACAGGAAGTACTCAGTTTTTTTTGCCAGTGTCTGTAAGATGGATGGTCACTGAACATGTGCTGCATGTGCTCTGTGAGCATACAGGGAGGTCTGGAACAGTTCTACTGAAAGTCAAGGACCTCAATCGTAATCATTCGAAAAACTGTTAGCCAAAATGGATGGTGTCAATGCCTCACTGGATAAGGAGAAGAATCCTCTGGGTTTTGCCTGTAATGCGGCTTTACGGAGCTGGACCCTGCATTTTCGGAAACACTGTGCCGTTTGGTCTGACCAAGGCGCTTCCGGCAGGGTGCTATACAAGTCCAAGGCAGTGGCCCCCATTTAAAAAGGGGGACTGAGTCCTTGAAGGTCTTTAGGACAAGGCCCGATGTAATGGGTGAAGGTTGGTCCCTGACTGAAATTTCAGGGACCTGTGGTGGGATTGGCAAGTGTTCCTCTAGATAGAGATATATCTGTCAGCGGAGTCACAGACTGATGAGAAGGGGGTTTCTGCTTCCCAATCACAGAGGTTTTTAGTTAAGACCCTTACTGATATGGTCCAGTCAGGTTTCAAGTTACCCCCGGTGGAGGTATCTGAGGTCTCTTATTCCTCTTTGGGCTCATTAAAGCTGCCTCAAAGAACTCAGGTGTTTCCGGTGCACCCTCTTTTGTTGCAAGTTATGTATGCAGACTGGGAGCACTCAGTTTTTGTTCCACCTAAAAGATTCTCCCTTCTGTATCCTATGGAGGAGAAATTTGTTAGAAAGTGGGACATGCTAGGGGTTGATGCAGCTGTGTCTTCCCTGAATAAGCATTTAACTTGCCCTGTGGATAATGCTCAGGTGTTTAGGGATCTGACGGATAAAAAATTAGAATCTCTCCTCAAGGCTTCTTTTTCCCTGGCAGGGCTGCTGCACAACCAGCGGTTGGTGCTATCGGCATCTGTCAGAGTCTGAATGACCATGGTAAATGGTCATTCAGAAAAAAAAAAAAAGACCAACTATTTTGGAGGAGGATACGACTGTCGATTTGGCAGATTTACCACAGGCCTTGTGTTTTGCAGTTGATTCCCTTAAGCAGGCATCGAAATTTCCACTCGCCTGCTCGAATTTGGTGAGTGGAAATAAGGTGTGGGGCGAGTGTGTCTCCCAGGGCCGTCTTGCTGACCACGCTCAGAACTCAGTGTCAGCTCTGGCACTCGAACTGGAAGCCGTCAGACTGCTCAATATTTGAGCAAAGTGAAAGCAAAGGAAGGGGAAGTGCATGCTGTGCTCTCTGCCTCCCCCTAGAGTGCAGTACCCAGCTCTGTGAGTGAAGGTAACGAAGTACTGCAACTTTTTTATAGGGGTGTGTGTATGTACATGTGTCTGTGTACATGTATCTATGTCTGTGTGTATGTACATGTGTATGTGCCTATGTGTGTGTGCGCATGTGTGTACGTTTCTGTGTGTGTGAGTGTCTGTACATGTGTCTCTGTGTGTGTATGTACATATGTCTGTGTGTAAACATACATGTATGGGTGGTTTGGTCAGGTTAAGGATTATGTGGTTATTATAGGTGGTGGAGTATGGGGCATTTAAGGTACTGCTGGGTTGGAATATGCTTGGTAGAGTTAGGTTAGGTGAGTGAAAGAATATGGGGGGTTATGGTTGAATGCAGTGCATGGTTTAAGTATGATGGAGTGTTTAGGGGGACATTGGAGGCCCTGATGCAATGTGGGGGGACTCTGGGGACCCTGATGTAATGTGGGTAACATTTAACAGTGTAATTTCATAAGATAATTTACAAGGGCGTATTTAGGGGCAGGGCGGGGCAGGGGGGAGTAACTGGTGGCGAGTAACTCTTAAGGCCAGGCTAGTAGAGCAAGACTTGAAATTTTGAGCCCTGCCCTTAAGGATTCGATTCAGCAGATCTCTAGCATGGCCCTTCTGTCAGTACACATGCACAGGATCTTGTGGTTAACCACTTGCCCTCCAGAGGATTTACCCCCCCTTCCTTACCAGGCCATTTTTTGCGTTACAGCACTGCGTAACTTTAACTGACAATTGCATGGCCATGCAATGCTGCACCCAAATGAAATTTACGTCTTTTTTCCCACAGATAGAGCTTTCTTTTGGGTATTTGATCGTCTGTGTGTTTTTTTATTTTTTGCACTATAAATAAAGACCAACAATTTTGAAAAAAAAAAAACAATAATATTTTTTGACTTTTGGCTATTAAACAATGAAAAAAAAAATCATATCATAAATTTAGGGCAAAATGTATTTTGCTACATGTCTTTGCGAAAAAAAAAAAAATCCCAATATGTGTCTATTAATTGGTTTACGTGGCGGTATATATAACTGGTATTTTTTTTTTCAATTTTTACTAGTAATGGCGGTGATCAACGACTTATAGAGGGACTGAGGCAGACATTCTGACACTGGGGGGAACTAACTTGGTGTCACTGACATCCCCAGTGACACATATACAGTGATCAGTGTTAATAAAAAGCAATGACACTGTACTAATGGCACTGGGTAGGAAGGGGTTAACCTCTGGGGCGAACAAAGGATCTGCTGTGTGTGTGTTTTTCCATTATGAGGCGGTTTGTGTGTGCTTTCTACTGTAAAGCACACTGCTTTGTTAATCTCAGATTCATGAAGCCTTGCTCACATGTAAGGCTCTGCTATGCAGAGCCACACAAAGCAGTGTGTAGGAGCTGACAGGGGAGAGAACTGTATGGTTTCCCTGCCATATAGTTCTCTCCCCTGTCGGTAATACTCGGTGATCACCGGGTGCCGGCGAGTAATCACTAGCCCAGACCCAATGATTGACAGCCGAGGCCGGAAATGGCGGCACAGGTAGGGCGCGCTAACCCCTACCCGAAAATGCGAAATCACGTATATATGCGTGATTTTGCACACCCCTGCCGCCCTGTAGCAGTATTTCTGCTATAGGGCGGCGGGGAAGCGGTTAAAGAGTTGGGCAGCAAAACTACCATGCAAAAGATTATTGGCGGGTTTTTCCTTTCAAGGAGAGCATCTGTTTGGGGAGGACCTAGACAAGTATATCCAGAAGATCTCAGGGGGAAAAAGTACGCTTTTACCCTTTAAGTAAGAGAAGGTCCAAATGCCTGACCTTTAAGGGGCCAGGCACTTCAGTGGTTGGTGCTTCTTCCATTAGGCAAGCATTTCAAAGTACACAGAGCTCTGCAACTAGGCGAAAATTTCAGGGCCAGGGCAAGAGGAAACCCTGGGTGCAGAAGCCCGCCAGGTCAGATTCTAAGTCCGCTTCATTATGAAGGGGTGCCCCCACTCGTGGGAGGGGGAAGACTTATTTTTTTCGAGATCTGAAAAGAGCTAATCCCAGACAAGTGGGTCACTTATACAGTTGCTCAGGGGTACAGACTGGAGTTTCAGGGAATTCCTCCTCCCTGTTGTTAAGGTCCAACGTATCCATGAATCTATTGAGAAGGAAATCTTTGTTTCAGGCACTCAACCAGCTGTTGTCCCAGGGCATGATTGTGGAGGTTTCAGTGGACAAACGGTTCCAGGGATTTTATTCAAACCTATTTGCAGTTCCAAAACCGAATGGGGATGTAAGGCCTATTCTAGACTTAAAGGGGCTGAACCGGTTCCTAAGGATTCTTCCATTTTGGATGGAGTCAGTCCGGTCAGTAGTCGCATATTTACAAGAGGGAGATTTTCTACCATCCATAGACATCAATTTCGCACACCTGCATGTGTCAATATTTACAGCTCATCAAAGTTTCTGTGGTTTGCGATAGAAACTCAACATTTTCAGTTCGTGGAACTACCTTTTGGGCTAGCCACGTCTCCTCAAGTGTTTACAAAGATTCTGGCTCCATTTCTAGGACTGTTCAGACTTTGAGGAATAGCGATTTTGGGCTATCTGGCGAAACTACTGCTCAGGGGTCAGTCTGGTCCAAGCCTGAGAAAAAATGTGGCCCCTTGCGATTCATACTCTGGAACACTTGAGCTGGGTGCTCAATTTTGATTAGTTTGGCCCTGGAGACAGTACAGAGTCTAGAGTATTTGGGGTTGGTCCTAGACATTGGTCAGGCAAAGGTGTTTCTGCCTCCAAGAAGGCCTGAGGTTCAGAGTTTGAGGAAAAGGAAGTATCCTTCCATTAGTCTCTGCATGAGGTTAATAGGGAAGATGGTGCCCTATGCGCAGTTCCATTCAAGGCCTTTGCAGAGGAATATTCTGTCGGCATGGAACAACAAGGTTTCAGCGCTGGATTACCGCATTTCTTTGTCCCCCCGGGTGTTTCAAAGCTTTAATTGGTGGGTGGAAGCTCGGAATTTGGAAGAGGGAAGATCTTTGCTAACAGTGAACTGGAAGCTAGTAGCAGCAATGCCAATGTCTCGGGTTGGGGGGTTGTTCTAAAAGGGACCACAGTCCAGGGGATGTGGTCGCCACAGGAAAAGATCCTTCCTGTCAATATCCTATCTCTGGAGCTTTACGCGGTGCGGCTTGCCCTGCGATATTGGACTGGCAGGCTTCAAGGTTGGCCAGTCAGGGTCCAGTCCGACATTGCTACAGCAGTGGCATACATCGATCACCAAGGTGGTACCAAGAGCTAGAGGGCTCAGGAGGAGGTAAATCACGCTCGGGATTGGGCAGATGGGCATGTTCTAGTTCTGTTAGCAGTATTAATTCCAGGGATAAAGAATTGACAGGCGGACTACCTCAGTCGTCAGAGGTTGTTTCCAGGAGAATGGGCTCTGCATCCTGAGGAAGTCTGGGCAATCTACCAACATTGGGGGTGCTGTGACGTAGATCTATTGGCATCCAGGTTCAACAGAAAGGTGGACAGGTTTGTGCCCAGAATGCAGGACCCTCTTGCAATAGGGGTAGATGCCTTGGTGATACAGTGGGATCAGTTTTCCCTAATCTATGCCTTTCACCCCGATTCAGCTACTCTCGTGGCTATTACGCAGGATTTGAGACTAGGTGATACTGGTGATATTAGTGGCACCAGCCTGTTACAGGTGTTGGTACGTGGACATTGTCAGGCTAGCAGTAGGCAATCCATAGCCTCTGCCAGATCGGTCAGACCTGCTGCATCAGGGACCTATACTGCACCAAGCTTTATGGTCGCAGAATTTGATAGCATGGCTGTTGAGACCCAAATCTTGAAAGACAGGGGAGTGTCAGGCTCAGTTATACACAAAATGTTGAATGCTAGGAAGCTGGTTTCTAGGAACATTTATTGTAGAACTTGGAAGGCATATATTTCTTGGTGTGAGGATCGAAATTGGCACCCCCAAAAATATTTGATTGGGAGAATTTTGTCTTTTCTCCAGTCAAGAGTAGAAAATAAATTGGATGTTGGAACTATTAAGGCTCAGGTTTCAGCCTTGGCCGTTTTCTTCCAAAGACCTATTGCTTCTCACTCTTTGGTTCATCCTTTTTTTTTTCCACAGGGAGTGATGCGTACTGTTCCTCCTGTCAGACAGCCCCTTAGCACTTGAAATTGGTCTTGGCAGTTTTACAGAAACAACCATTTAAACCTATCAGGGAAATTCTGTTAGTTCTGCTAACTCGAAAGGTTCTGTTTTTGGTGGCAATCACTTCTGCAAGAAGGGCATCGGAGTTGGCAGCAATTTCTTGTAGGGAACCATTTTTGGTTTTACATCAGGATAAGGTGGTGTTGTGGCCTCATCTGTCCTTTTTGCCAAATGGGGTTTCTAGTTTTCATCTCAATCAGGACATTGTTCTGTCTTCATTCTTTCCTAGGCCTCAGTCAGCTAAAGAAAGATCTTTCCATGCCCTGGATGTGGTTCGGGTAATAAGGGTCTTTTTGAGAATGACGGCACAAATTTTAAAGGCAGATTCCTCGTTTATTTTGCCAGAAGGACCCAGGAAAGGACAGGCGGCATCCAAATCAACTATTTCTAAGTGGATTCATCAGTTAATCATTCAAGCCTAAGGTGTGAAGAGCAAGGTTCCACCCTTTCTGGGGAAAGCACACTCTGCTAGGAGTGTGAGAGCATCTTGGGCTATCCGCCATCAGGCATCTGTTGCTCATGTTTCCGAGGCTGATACATGGTCTTTGATTCATACATTCACAAGCTTTTACCAGGTGGACGCAACAGCCATGGAGGATTCTGTCTTTGGCTGCAGTGTTTTACGAACAGCTGAAAAGCTCATTTTGGGATGTTGGTGGTGGTTATTGTGATGTCACCCACCCCTCAAGGTTATTGTTTTGGGATGTCCCACATGGTCATTATTTTGGCCTGCTCTGTGTCCCGTGATGTACGATAAAGAAAATTGGATTTTTTTCTACATACTTACCTGTAAAATCCATTTCTTGGAGTACATCATGGGACACAGAGGTCCCTACCCTCTTCGGGATTTTCCTTGCTTGCTACAAAAACTTTCATTGTAGGAGGTGTTATATGGGGGAGGACTTCCTGTTTCCAGTGTCCATTCACCTATAGGTGACATATAACCCACAGTCATTATTATGGCCTGCTCTGTGTCCGTGATGTACTCCAAGAAACGGATTTTACAGGTAAGTATGGAGAAAAAAATCCAAATTTTCAAGCTCTTCGAAATTTTTGAAGCTGGCAATCCTGGAATCCTTGAGCTTACTCAATACCGGTAACCTGAAGCATAAAGTCCACATGCCTCGTGTTACTTTGTATAAGAAATCACTCCCATGAATTAATAGCCAGTCTGTGAACGTTCACAGACCAGTAACTAATGGAAGCAAATATGTAATATGTTTCTGACAGTCTGCAGCCTAAAAAAGAAAATATATTTCTAAACCCCCAAAATAGAAGACACTATTAAAAAAGCGCTTCAAGAAATATCTTCAGAAATGGATAAGTGTAAAGCAACTACATTTACTTTGTGCCTTCCCTGCCAAGAAAAAGCTCCCAGAAATCTGTGCTAGGAACAGAGCAATAACTTTAGTTCAATACTTCCACGTGTGTGCCTTGCACTTTTGCTCCCTGCTATTTTTAAAGCCTAAGCTTATCAAAATAAAAACGCAAAAATCAGCAAAAGGAACATGACTTACTACCTATGAATCAAATATGATCTCTGAACGGAGGACAGATGGCTGATTGAATAGTCCTGCCCCTTCATTCATATGATTGGGTTTCATTCATATAAACTGTAGTACGGCTTCTATCAATGAAGGAGCTGGGAAGAAAGTTGAGCACTCTTAATGAATGCAACTGGAAGCTCTCTCAGTTCCCTCAGCTCTATTAACCCCTGCTGCACCAGAAGATTACAGCATAGGGGGGAGTTGCAATTGAGGAGGATTTCAAGGAAACCAAGAGCCATCAGCACAAATGACACAGAGCATTAATAGCAAGTCATGTCCTCTGTGCTGAATTTTGTGTTTTTTATTTTGACCACACTTCAGCTTTAAATGAAGTTGATTGGTACAAACAGCACCCCAATAGACCACTGGTGCAACTAATTCTGAAAAAAAATTGTGGGTGCTGAAGTAGAAAGAATGCAGACCAGAACTTTGAGCAAAAGTACTACTGCATTCTCAGAACAGATTAAGAGAGCCGCAGTATGTGTAAATTCATCCTTAAAATAGTTATTCAGCTTCCCCCAGCCCCACCCTAAATATTTACCTAAGCTCAATATTGGTCCAGCTCTGTGCTCGAGAGCAGCAGTGCTGCTGTCCCTCTCCCCATAGGCCACTGGCTTCTGTTGCTGTCAATCAAATTCTGTGACAAGGCAGCAGGGGGTAGAGCCAA